ATTACTTCTGTCACACTCTAATTGGTTGAACAGCCTCAAGTCCAAAGGGACGTAGACTCTACCTCTCAATGAGAGGCATGCATATAGGAGAATTTGCAGCCATTGGAAAAAAAATTACCACAAACACACATATTTTAAAAACTCCATTGTCCTGAACTCTGAGAACTGAAAGGGACCCAGAAGGATTATCCATTTCAGTCTCCCACCATGGTTCAGCTCCTCTTTGCAACTTTTCTGTCATTGCATACCTGGACCACAACAGGCATTTCCTTACTGGTCTCCCGTTGGCCACTCTTGCCTTGTACAGTCTGTTCTCCACCCTGTAACCAGAATGATTGTTCTGAAACACGTTGTCCCTGGACACCCCCACCTTCACCTCCGTTCCTTCCCACTCATCTTTGAACTAATGTCTGTGACAGTCTGATGGTTTGGTCAGCTACCTCTTCAGCCTTATCCTAGGCCATGTCCACTCGTGTTCTGCTTCTCACTATGGGTACTTTTTTTTCAGTTCCTTATACTATTTATGCATCTTCCTGCCACAAGCTTTCTGCAAATACTGGCCTCTACATGGAATGTTTTTCCCTTCCCTCATGGCTTGATTAACTTCTACTTATTCTTTGGATCTTGGCTTGATAGTTACTTTCTCAGTGATGTGCTTTCTGACCTCCCCCATCAGGTCACATCCTCTTATTGCCTGCTCTTAAGGACCATGCATCTTTCATTTGTAACATGTATCATTTTTATACTTGTGAGAATATTTGCTTTAACTCCATATCTCCCGTAAGACTGTGAGGTCCATGAAGCCAGAGACAATGTATGTTTTTCATCATTTGTCTTTTATGACTTACATACAGACATTATGAATATTTTTCTTAAGTATGAAATTTTTTTTTATTTTAGGAGTGAAGGAAATTTAATGCAGTCTAAGAATTTATCATTTTCTTGCTAGCCTACATTCCTATTGTAGTTCATAATGAACTCCAGTCAACCCTACCTACAGGTAACATAAGCTTCCTTAAAGGAAAGCTCCCACATTCTGTTCTTATCCAGGTAATATGTGGATTAAAAGCAAGCCTTTATATTTAATCTTAATTTATGTCTTCCTTCAACGATAATTTCAGTTAGTTGACATGTCTTTGAAGTATTTCTCTGCAGTTCTTCATATCATTTATTCTTTTGAATTTGCTATCATTTGCTAATTCAATGAGCATGTTTTCTTATTTAGCTTTATGTGTATCATTGGGGTTTTTTTGAGTAACCAACTTCTGAGGTCAAATATGTTTGAGAGATATCCTAAACATATTTCTTTTTTTTTTTTCATTTATTTTNGGAGTATGCCCATTTAAGTTCCAAATCCACTCTGATACCAGTTTCTGAATAGGTTAGGGTAAGTTAGGTTATGCTACCATAACAAACAACTCCCAAATTTCAGTTATTTAAAAGAGCAAAAGCTTGTTTTTTGCTCATGCTACCTTTACGCACTTTTACGAAGACAGAGGGCCTTTGCTTATTATGGTTCCCTAAGGGACGCAGGCTGGTGGACCTGCAAACATTTTGAATGTTAGTAGGTTTCTCCTCTTCCTCCTGCTCCACCTTAACTAACTCAGATATAATATTGCCAGTTGTTTTGTTTTTTCCTTCAAAGATAGCAAGTTCTGGACAGTCTTGCTCCAGTATTTAGATGTTCTAGCTCAGAAATGACACTTGTCACTTCTGCTCACAACTCATTGGCCAGAACTAATCATATGGCCCCACCCAACTGCAGAGGTATCCGGGAAGTGCAGTCCTTTTATGTGCTCTGAATGTAGAGAGCCATAAGCATATGGTGAATAGCATTAATGACTGTTAGGTGTGAGTATAGGATATACTTCTCAAAACTGTTAACTTGTTGAAACTTTTCTTCATGAGGCATCTTGGGACGCTCTGTTTTGTAAGGGATAGCTTGGGAAACACTGGATTCTAGTCTAGAAACAACAAGGTTTAGCAGAGGCAAGCCCATTAGAGACTATTTCTTTATTTTAGCCTCCTTTGGTTGTGGTAATTCAGTTAATTATAAATCCCCTTGTATTCATCCTCTAATACCCACTTCCCTTTCCTGCTTGTAAGATTTTTATGAAAGAGTTTGCAAAAAATCTTTCTGAAAGCAAAAACTACTCTGCCTGTTGCATCCTTTTTGACTTAGAAGGGTACTTGCTTGTAACCAGTTTAATTTAGTATGACTCTTGAATCCTTGAGTTGAGCCCCTAGTTGAATTTATTTCAATGAAAGTACAAAAGAAGAAATCCTACATAGATTTCACCTGACATGCAAGTAATAAAAATGGATTCTAAAGTATTACTGGAAAATACTAAAATGCACAAACTACACTAGAAGGATGTTCTATTCACTCATGTGAGTACCATCTACTGCATAGCCAGACAAGACTGCATGACAAGTGTGAACCTGAGTCTATCTAGGAGGTAAGCATCATGAACAGAAGGACCGAGACATGGCAATAGCATCAGCCTTCCATGTAAAATTGCAACCAATTTTACTTCCTTAGGCTGAGTGCAGTAACAGAAACACAGTTTCTATAGCAAACTGTGAGACAGTTCCCAAAGAGTGCAGTTATCTTAATGAAATGCTGTGTAGACTTTTGGTCCTGTAGCTATATATGCATTTGCTGATTATTTCTGTATGAAGGAAGGAAGCTTTGGGTCCTGTATAAAGGAAGTTTTAGTGATTCTGATCTCATAATAAGGAGACAGAGAGGCTAAGTTTGCCCTTTGTCCTTAAACTGTTTCCATCTTAAAAAATGAAACTGAATATTTCAGAAGATCATCACTGTTTAGCTTTTGTGACTCAGTATATTTCATTTCCTAAAAGCTCAAATATTTGAAGGTTTTGGCTTTGGTTGTTTGGTTTTCTGGTGGCAGGATAGAGTGGAGCTGGAGTTGGAGAACTGGTTTGGAGAAGCAGTTAGGGAGAAGACACTGCTGTGGGAGTGAGGAAGCCTCGTGTCTGGACCTGCTTCTGTCCCTGATGGGTTATGTGGTTTCTGCCAATGTTGTCCCCTCTCTGGGCCATAGTGTCCTCTTTTGTTAAGCAAATAAGCAAACACAGGGTCTTAGATCCTGTAATGACCGTTCTAATGACTGCTCACTTGTTTAGTGATTTTTTTAAATTGTTGTTTGGTGCTTTTCTTCTTGGGGAGCCCTTCCTTCCACCTCCACGACACCCTGTGTTCCTTCTAGTCACCCCATGGGGCAGTTGGAGTGTGCTTTTGTCTTTACTCTTGCAACAACTGTCCATGGATGCACACAACAGCTGTGGGTGGCTGGAGGGTGCGCACAAGCCCAGGTCTTCTGACTTCAGCTCTTGGTTTGTCTGCTTCTACCAGATGAGTGTAACTTAAAAAAAAAAAAATTATTGGCTGTGTTGGGTGTTCATTGCTGCACATGGGCTTTCTCTAGTTAGGGCAAGTGGGGGCTACTCTTTACTTGTGGTGCGTGGGCTTCTTATTGAGGCCCCTTCTCTTTGCAGAGAGCAGGCTCTAGGCACAAGAGCTTCAGTAGTCGGGGCACACGGGCTTAGTTGCCCCACAGCATGTGGGATCTTTCCGGACCAGGGATCAAACCCCTGTCCCCTGCATTGGCAGGCAGATTCCTAACCACTGGACCACCAGGGAAATCCCTGAGTCTAATTTTTTTTGGCCAATAATGTAGAAAACTCTAGGAGTACCTCCTCTTTGTTATTTTTTATTTAAAATATTACTTAAGGGCACTGAGCCCCCTCTGGGGTCATCAGCACCATTGGCACTGCTGTGGAAAGGGGATCAGTGAGGATCCTCAAGCAGGAGGTCCTCCCAAGCTTGGAATTCCCGGCTTTCTGATCGGTTATTTCTTTGCCTCCTTTCCCGTGGAGTCACATTTCATGCCCTGTCTCCTCGCCTTTCTGCCTGCAGTTTTGCACATTTGTGCTGACAGTTCTGGTTTCTCTGCAGGTGCTGGTAGTGACACCAGGCCTTGTGAGAGCTGTCTGTGGTCCTGGGTGGGATGTGAACAGTTTTTCTCTCGGAAATAGCCTAATTTGAAGGAAATCCCCTTTGCTGTTTGACATGGTGTGAACCATAGCATCAGGAATCCTTTTAAATCCAACAAGATATTAATAAATCTGTCTCCTGGGTGCCATCTCTCCAAACACAACAACCTCAGTTGTTGCTCTTGAGATGCCCTAAGAATAAAAGATCTGCATTCAGACACACAGTCCTTTCCTTTTGCACTGAGGATTCTTGGATGAGGTTTATTTTGGTGTCCTTAGCCATGGCAGGGAGCCATGTTCAGCTTTGGTTTTCTAGGCTGTGAGTTTCACAGTCCAACCCTTGTCGGTGGAACAGATAAGAGATTTAAAACACACAAATATCTTCCACATCTTTGCTTAAGCATCACCTCATCAGTGGCTATCTCTCACCAACGCTGCCATGTAGGTTAGCTGCAGCATCGGCCTATCTGTAATGACCTGAGTTATTGTTTGAATGTGTTTAATGAGTCTTAATGAATGTTTAATGGCATGGAAGCTCTGTGAGGTCCAAGGGGTACTTCTCTGGCCTACCCTTCTCTCCAGAACCTGTGATTAGCTGAGGCCTGACGGCACGATATTTCATTTCGCAGGAATAGACAACCAGCAGATCGCTATCACCCCGACCCCGGAGTTATCCCCTCATGGGAGGCTGTTACCGATTTCACCAACATGGCCTTTCTCCGAAGTCCAGTCTTCCTCAGCAGTGGACAGGATGAAGCCTGGGCCCGGAGCATCCCCTGACAACACGAGCTGGCCGCAGTCTGCCTGGACGGCCCTACCCAAGACACACCGCCGAGCTCGGGCCCACGGGGACTTCTCTCCTTCCCAAGGCAGCGCCCGCAGCGCCTCCCTTGAGCCTTCCAAGGATTCCGCCGAGACCCTGGTCCAGCCAAGAGCTCCAGGGGGAAAAGAAGCAGCCTCAGTGTCAGGTTTGCCTCTCACCAGCATGCTGCCCCCACTGTCCACCCTCCCACCAGTGACGTCCTTCACCGCTGGCCTCCCGTTGCGGCCACCGTGGGTAGGGACTCCTTCCGTTTCAGAACTACATTCCCCGAGGGCAGATGCTCTCCTCTCATCTTCATCTTCTTCATTGGCTCCCGACTCACCTCATTCCATCCTCTTTTCTAAGGCAGCGGAGCCACCCACCAAAGTGCCTTTATTCCCCCACACAGCTCCAACTGACTCCTCCTCAAGTCAGAGCCTAGCGAATCCCCTAAATCCATTTGCTGAGGAAATGAACCGTGCTCCATCCAGAAATGCCCAGGATTTCATAGGCATCCCTCGTCTAGGTTTTTCTGGATCCTCAAGCCCAGCAGAGGGTCCTCACTCAGCGGGCTCCCCCTCACATGAATTTTTGAGCTCCGTGGCAGACCTGGCCCCTTTGTCTCCCCTTCCCCCAGCCTCTGGAAGTCTTCAGCTTCCTGGTGGAAGGCCCTCATCGTTGATGTTGAAAGTGGTTCCAAGTCTTGCATCCACCCAGCCGATTGAAGCTGAGGTGGCTCAAAGAGCACATAATGGGGTGTCTCTGCCATCCTTGAAGAGTGCAGCAACCCCTGAAGCTGCGTCCTCGCTGGTCCAGACGGTAGAGTTAGTGGCAGTGGGAATGACCAGCCTGGAGGCAGCCCGTGCTCCTGCAAAGAACTCTGCTTATCCACTGCGTGTGTCAGCAACCCCAGAGAATTCCAAAGGGCCCACCCTTTCGGCAGAACCCAAATCTTCCCCTTTGGTGCCCTCTCCTCTGCCTCTCACCACAGCTGACCAAGGACAAGAAGGCCCTTCTGGGCCAGTTCCCACATCCCCATCAAATGACACAACAGCTGACATCCCCCCCACGCCTGCCCCCCTCCAGCTGGCACGGAGTCAGGCCTCTCCATCCACCATGCCCCAAGTGCCAACTCCTCAAGAAGCAGGTAGTGATGGGTCCCCTCCCACTGCAGCTACAGACCTCCTCCTCTCAAGCACATTTCCTCATCATCCTTCCACGACATGGACATTTCCCCTGCAGAAGGAAAATAGCATGGCAGCTGTTTTAAAGAAAAATGAAAAGGCAAATTTGACAGTTGCTCTCGAGACCCTTCCGAGTAAAGAGAGTCCAAGTCTTCACAGTGTAGGTGTATTCACCTCTAATTTCAGCACTGATCATGTCTCTACAGACATGACACCACCAGGAACCAGCCTCCTTCCTTCTGAGTTACCTCCATCTTCCATCCCCTTCACACGAGCTACCCAGACTGCGTCCCCATCTCATAGTTTTTCCAGCGCCAAGCCAGTGACTTACACAGCTGTGACAGACCATTCTGAGTTGCCAGTTTGGGCTTCTAAACAGGTGACAGCTTTTCCTTCCTCCAGTGAGGTCTATGATTTCTCAAAAATGGGAGGCATGAAGAAGCCAGCAACCACAGATGTTTTCTGGAGTTCTGTTGCAGCGGAAGCTGAGTCCCTTTCCACAGAACCCATGATGTCTGGTTGGCTGCAGCAAACAAATGATCACGTAAATGGGCACACAATTAACTCCACAAGTTGGGAAGCTCACTCGGCTGCAGCCACTTCTCCTGGTGGTTTAAATTCCACTGCCAATACAATAAAATCTCAGGATTTCAAAGATAATGTTGGGCATTCAGCAACTGTGGAAGATTTTAGCATCCAGGATCCAGGGTCTGGTATGAGCACCAACCAGCCCATCCAACAGTCAGATGTTACCATGGCTGGAAACCGTACAGACTTCTTGTCCATAAACACTAGCAACTATCCCAGAGACTTCCAAACAGCTGAGATTGGAGATTACCCATCTATAAGCCAACAATCTGTGTCTCATCCCCATCTACAGTCACCTGCCCATCCAGCACATCCACTTGTGCCGAGCTCTCCAAGTCTGACTTCCACAGCTCGCTTGCCAGAAATGCTTTCAGATGGAATGGATACAAGTTTTCAAATCACTGATGACATCTATCCATATCCAGTGATAAATGCTTCCCCACCATTCCAGGGTATCCTGAGATTTCACCCTACTGCTGAATCACCTCCTCTGTCAACCAGTGCCTTACTCAGGACCCCGTCCAAAACACTGCGGGCTTCTCAGCACCCTGAGAAATGGACAGGTGCAACCACTAATGCAGGTAGTTTGTTTCCTGGTCCCTCCCAAGATAGGTGTGTGACAGCTTCTGGGGCCAAAGCATCTTCAGGCTCAACACAGATACCTAGCTTTGCTCTGAAGGAGCAGATATGCCTGATTTCAGGATGATGAATGAGTTACTAGTCCAGATAGTCATGCCTTTGATCTTCAGCTGACTTGATATTTTGGAACGTATTCGGAATTTAAGTGTCCTTATTTCCACCCATAGCTTTGCTGTAAGTGGCATTCTCATTACGGTTAATTGACTTAATGAACCTAAAGCCATTTTGCCTAAATTCCAGAGCTCAGAGACCTCTCAGCCCAACAAACCCATAAGTGGCATCCATGCATCCCCACAAGTGGTGTGTGCATTCTGTGCCAATGACAGACTTTGCCTTTTCTCTTTGCAGTGGATTCCTCAGTGTTGCCCAAGGCAGAACCGACAGCAGCAGCAGCAGCAGCAGCAACCACGTTGTTTCTTCGTAAATCAAGTCCCCTGATGCTGTCTGCAGCCCTGGTTGCTAAGGGCACCGGCAGCAACCCTTCAGCCATGGCCTCGGGATTAGCCAAGAGCAGCTGGACCACCGCTCTAGCTAAAAACATCACAAGCAGTGCCGCATCTGGCCCCAAAGCGACACCAGGAGTGGCTCATCCAGCCTTCTCCTTCACGCCAACCTATATGTTTGCAAGAACAGCACACACCGTGAGCGCTCACTCAGCCATGCAAGGGAACACGGGCGCTGCCTCTGGCCTGTTATCCACAACACACCTCCCCAGGAAACCACAAGCCATGCACACGGGCTTCCCGAACCCCACCAACCCAGACCTGCCCAGGGTGTCCACCACTCGCCCGCTGACCATCACAGCAGCCTTGACGTCCATCACCGCACCAGTGAGGGCCACCCGGATGCCGCCTTCATCAGCAGAAAACACAGATGCCGCTTTTCCCGCTGTGTCCACTGCTGTGGTCACACCTGGCAAGACAGCGTCCAACCTGGAGTGTCAGATGTCCAGTAAGCTTCTGGTGAAGACAGGTAAGAGTTCACTGCCCTGATTTGATGTGAAAGCCGCAAGTGCATCCTGGCCTCAGAGATGTAGGAGAATTCTTAGATTTCTTTGAGATCAGTGGCTCTTAACCAGTCCCTGCCGCCAAGTCTGGAGACGTTTTTGAGTGTGTACATCTTGGAAGGTAGGGAGGGTGTTTCAGGCATCTGGCCAGTTAAGAGACCAAGGATGCTGCTAAACTTCCCTACAATGCACAGGATGGTCAGGCAACAGAATAATCCAGCCCAAAACATCCAAAATGCTGAGGCTGAGAAGTCCTGATCTTTATTAAGTGATAGAGAAGAATCTCCTCTATCATGTGGAGAATATGACACAGAATCTAGCCCTGGGCTCCATCCTGGTATCAGAGGCCTCCTGAAACCAGTTCCCCTAGAGAGTCTGAAAAAGCAAAGGTACACCAAAATTTGCCTAGTAGAGTGTATCTACAGGCAAGCTGTGATGATGTGATGTCTACAGTGACGTCTCACGTGTGTGAATGCTGTGATTAGTAAAATACACGATCATAGGAAGGGCAACAGGACTCAGAAGGACTCTCTCTTGTGTTTTCTCAACCATCCGATACTAAAAGTACAGTGATGGTACCCTATGTTGGCGCCTGAATTTTCTTCTGATGTTAAAAAGGAAATCTTCTTGAAAGAGTCGGGGTGGTAGATGCTGGTTTTTTAGCCCCCTCCTCTGAGTTGCAGCAAATGGGCCAAGAAGGCACACCATGCTTTTAATAGTGCGGTAGTGTCTGCTATAAAAAGCATCAGAAACATTATTTGAAAGAGCATGCCAGTGTTGAATGCTCATGTCCCGCCTTCCTCTTCACCCCACAAGGAATTAAATGAAATTATTTCTTGAGACAGATCCTATTCTAAAATGGGAAATTGTGAAGTTAGGCATAGCAGAAAGCACAGGATCTTTTTTCAGTTTCTCAAGAAATTATACCATCTGGTTTTCCCCTCCCCCTGCCCCCTCCCTCCAGATCTCTGCCTCCCCCTCTGAGTGGCAGGCAACCCCAGCCTCTTTGATGTGGCAGTCTGGAACTTTCTCCACTCCCTCTTCTTCACACCCCCCCTCACCCCAGCCACACCCAGTTGATTCCTTCCTGTTCTGCCTCTGAATGCCTCTTCCCTCCACTCCCACCGCCCCTTCCCTGGTTCACGTCACTCACCTACATTCTGCAAAAGCAGCCAGATTTCTCTGTCTGCCCTCAGGCTTCCCCCTACCCCTCTAATCTCCTCTCCAGTCTGCAGTCAAGGGAACCTTCTAAAGTTCATGCCTTTGCTTAAACCCCTTCCTTTCCCACTGCCCTCAGGACCAGGCCTGGACTTGTAGACTGAAATATTCACTTCTCTCCCCATGCCTTTGCACTTGGTCTTCCCTCTGTTGGGAGTGGCCAGGGCAGTCCCTCTGGCCTTAGCCCAGCTCATGCCCATCATCCTCCAAGAGTTCATGGAAGCATCAGTTCCTCCCGGAAACCTTCCCTGATCCCCACCCCCTTGCCCCAGTCAAGGCTGGATGCTTCTCCAAGGGCCTCCAACTACATCCTAGGCTTCCCTTCAGGGAACACCTGTCGTGTTCCATCACAGCTGCCTCTTCTCCATGCCAGGTCTCCATCTTGCTTGTTGGAGGTGGGGTGGGGGGAATGCCCCTCCTAATGCAGGGTTGATTTAGGCTGTTTTAGGATGCAGGGTCTGCCCTTGAGGCTCTCAGGGATGCTGTTGCAGGAATTTCCTTGCATGCAGACCAGTTAGGAGCAGGCACACTGGCTTTAGCCTGGCTTTCAGAGTTAAAGGCAGTGACGGTCAGAAGCGAAGTGTCGCTAGTGTACTAGCCGTCTCTCCATCAGGGCCACCCAAATGACTGGGCCTTCTTTAGGACGTCGGCGGGACCAACGGAACTGCTGCCCCAGCTATGCTAAATGGGAAAATTGTGAAAGTAGGAAATTATACCATCTGGTTGCCAGTTGGCCCTGTACCCACCAGCTTTGCTCAGAACCTGTAGGGGGTGCTGGGTGGCTGGGAAGGAGCAGGGGGCTCGTGAATTAGGTCTGCTGCCTTGTGCTGATTGGGTGCTTCTGTTTGACCCCACAGTTCTCTTTCTGACCCAAAGGAGGATGCAGAGCAGTGAAACCTTGAAGCTCAATATAGTCAAAGGGCTCACACAGGCCTTGCGGAAGGCGTTCCACCAGAATGACGTCTTGGCTCATGTAAGCCCCCTGCTCTTGTAACCAGGCTCGTCCAGCCACGTCTTCTTTTTGGGTCCAGAGTCTGTTTACATTGTTTCTCTGCTCCCTGGGCACCATAACCACCACAGAACTAGACTCTGTCATCACTCATCATTTTGGCAAATAGCTAATGTGTGGTAGCAGGAGAAGGAGGTCAAATTCTGAGACAGAAAATTGAGGATAATTGTGTCTAGTTTTGGGGTTGTTTTTTTTTAAAGCCTGGATGTACTTTATAAAAATTGCCCCATTATCCTGTTATTTGGGGAAAGTATTTAATTGTGTCAGTGTAATTTTGCAGAAATCATCCACTGCCTTTTCTTTTATCTTCCTCACCATTGTAAACAGTTGGTGATTTATTTCTGGACATTTAAAAATTACTCTGACTTGTAAATTAAGTCCAACTTTGCTTAAATTGAGAGCAACAGACAAGGAAGTAAGCATTTTTTTTTTCTCTCCAAACACTCTCATGCCAAGTACTATTTAACAACCACCAGCTGATTTTGATGGCATATCCAAGTGATGGAAATCTTGCTCTACTCTTTTTGGTTTGATTCCAAGTTTTAAAGCAGTACATGTGATGGGCAGTCAGTGGACAGCCCTTTACATCACTTAAAAATATCGCTCCAGCTTTCTGCTCTGATGCTCTGCACAGCTGCATTCAAATTAGTGGTCCTTCCCTGCCACCACACCACAGACTAGGAAGGAGATTGGGTACAGTTTATTCATCATTGTTAATCTCTTCTATATAATTCTGAGAAGAAAAAGAGGAAATGCTCTCCATAAGAGGCATCTGTGGTTTCTGCACCAGACACTTTCTTTGGAAGTTGAAAATGTGAATGTTTCCCTGTGGTTACCTGAGACAGTTGCCATTAAACTTTGGTTGTTTGCAGATTAGCCTCACAGTTTTTGACCTTTGTTGCATATCATCACAGACCGCTGTGACAATTAGTATGTAGTAGTTATTTTAAAATCAGTTTTTATTTAAAAAAACACTTAAGATTGGGATTGTTATATATGCACTACTTTATATAAGATGGATAACTAATAAAAACCTTTATAGTATAGGGAACTCTATTCAATACTCTGTAATGACCTATATAGGGAAAGAATCTAGAAAGGAGTGGATATATGGATATGTATAACTGATTCACTATACTGTGCCGCAGAAACTAACACAACACTTTGAATTGACTATAGTTCAATAAAAATTTAAACACTGAAACACATTTCTTTCAAGAGGATGTTTGATATTATCACCATGAATAGAAGTCAGGATCATTTGCCACAAATAGAAGGTAATGATAAAAATGAAATAAGGGAGTTTCCTGACCAGTCTAGTGGTTAGGATTTGGTGCTTTTACTCTCATGGCCCAGTTTCAATCCCTGGTCAGGGAACTGAGATCCTACAAGCTGCATGGCATGGCCAAAATTAAAAAATAAAAATGAAAATAGTGGAGACTGTTAAATTCAAGCTAGACATTACTGCTTGCAGAAGGCATTAAGGCTGGGGCCTGGCGTCCCTTTGTTCATTAAAAAATATGATTAGCAAGGATTAAAGAGGTGTTAGAAGTCAACTGTCCTCAAACTGAGACTTGCTTCTTGAGATATTAACATTAGGAGGGTTGGAATGGGCGTCACTTTCTTGCTGGGAATTGGTGGTATTTGGTGCTGAGTCCGTGTTCCATCCAGGAATACCTCTTGTCCCACCTAAGGTCACCTTGAACATCACCTTCAAGGGACAAGGTGCTGAGGAGCACACAGTGTGGAGGAAGCAAAGGACACCCAGCCTCCTGCAAAATCGGTTGTCTTGGTTTCTTTGGCAAAAAAGCATGACACTCCTAATGGAGATGGAAGAATAAGGGGAGGAAAGGCGGTGTTCAAAACACCCTGCACTGTGGATATCACACACAAGGAAAGCAACACGAAGTAAGAATAAGGTCAAAAGCCTCGAAAATCTTCCAGTTGGGTGAGAAAGAGTTCAGATCATCAGCATCCCTTAAGACTCTGTTGCTGTAAGAGAAATTCTCCATGGCCCAGCCTTGCCTTGGTCATGAACCAGTCACAAGCCAAGAATGGAGTTAAATCTGAACAGCTCTTCTCTCAGCTTCTAAAGAGAGGGGTGCACCTCATTTACAGGCTGGCCCTTGTCTGGAAGGGGTCCGAACTTAATCTGTCATTTCTGCCTTTTAATGTTTATGCTGTTGTTGTGCTCTGTCACTCAAGTCGTGTCCAACTCTTTGCAACCCCATGGACTGTAGCCCACAAGGCTTCTCTGTCCGTGGGATTTTTCAGGCAAGAACACTGGAGTGGGTTGCCATTTCCTGTTCCAGGAGATCTTCCCAACCCATGTCTCCTGCATCTCCTGTATTGCAGGTGGATTCTTTACCCACTGAGCCATCGGGGAAGCCCCTTTAATGTTTATAAATGATGAGAAATATGGCACAGCCATTTCCCCCAGCATTCCTACCCCAGGAAATCTCTTTTGCCTGCTGTCTCCTGCCTGCCTTCCTGGGTGATAATTGGTGCTCCCAGGATTAAACTGAGGCACTTAAGGAATGAAAAAAAACTACCCACAGACTTAATTCTATTTCATAATTAAATATAGATTTAATCCTATATCCATAGGTTCAACACAAATGATATTTTGTTGTATTCTGATATTTTGAGACCTGCCAATCCCATCAGCTTATAGGATTGCTAGAATATTTGTCGAATGGGAGCGTCCTCTTCCCCAGCCATGCTGAGTAACCACTGTGGTTCTAAGAAACACCAAGAGAGACTTAAAGTATGGTGGAAGTGAACACTGAGTTCTTTGGGTCCATTTGTCTTGCAGGTGGACCTTCTGGAACACTCTCACAACATCACCGTTGGTTATTACGCCACCAAAGGGAGGCTGGTCTACTTGCCTTCTGCAGTGGTCGAAACGCTGGGTGTTTACGGGATCAGCAACGTCACTGCAGATGTGAAGCAGCATGCCCCAAACTTGCAGTCTGTGGCTGTGCTTGCCTCCCCGTGGACCCCCCAGCCTGCAGGCCACTTGCAGCTGAAAACAGGCAAGTAATTCAGAAGAAAAGGATTCCTCTTCATTCTGGGATTGTGGGCGGTATCCGGAGGACACCTGTTTGGAAACTCCATCATTGGAACTCCCCTGATGGTTCAGTGGTTAAGACTCCGCACTCCCAGTGCAGGGGGTACAGGTTTGATCCTGGTCAGGGAACTAAATCCCTCATGCCATAGCTGAAGATGCCACAACTAAGGCCTGGTGCAGCCAAATAAAAAAAAAGAAAACTCCATCACTAGCTGCTCTGTCATTTCTGAGAGTCCTTGTGTACCTTTCTCCAAGGGCCTTGCTAATCAATTGTCCAAGTTCCCTGCACAGCAGCCTAAACTTTTCCAACCTGGATTCATGAGAAATATTCCTTCACAGAAGTCTTCCCAATTTATATGAGTATATAGTACTTATGAGCATCAGGTACTGTATTTTTTTTTTCTGTATTACCAATGGATACTGAGGAGAGTTGAGTATCCTCAGCATAAAATCTATGCTTTGCAACAACATGTTCCAGATGCCCTTGAATTAGAATCTTTGAGCTTAGGCCTTAGAGTCTTTCTTTTAAACTCACTGGTGGGACTTCCCTGCTGGTTCAGTGGTTAAGAATAAACTTGCTAATGCAGATGTCACAGGTTCCATCCCTGGCCCGGGAGTATTCCATATGCTGCAAGGCAACTAAGCCCGTGTGCCATAGCTACTGAGTCCATGCGCTCTGCAACAAAAGTGCACCAAACCTAGAGAAAGCCCCTGCTTTCCACAACTAGAGAAAGCTCTTGCACAGCAATGAAGACCCAGTGCAGCCTAAATAGATATTTTTTAAAATGTATGTTTTTAAAAATTCTTATCTTGTGGTTTGAAAGCCACAAGAAGAGAGGAACCGTTGAAAGACTCAAACAACTTAGTCATGTAGGTCAACTGATTTTTTTTTCCTTCCAAAGAAATAGAAGTCATGATCACTCCAAATTCATTTTAGTTGTCTTGGAGCAGATGTTTCCATATGCCAGTAATTGAAATCACAAAATGCTTTGCATTGGAGGGAATCTCAGGTTCGATCATGTTTTTAATTCTTCTATATTATAAATCATTTTAAGAGCCACTTCCAGAACTATGACTGTCTTTATTTGCCTGATTTCTCTGAGTAAAATCATGCTGTTTTGTGTCATGACTGCCATTCAGTTCAAGGAACTAAGACATAGAGCTTTGGTGAGCGTTGATTTATTACTCTCATTTTAGTGCTACAGTTTGTGAGCCAGTCCGACAACATACAGTCCTGCAGATTTGCTCAGACCATGGAACAGAGGCTTCAGAGGGCCTTCCAGGATGCCGAGAGGAAAGTTCTGAATACTAAAAGCAACCTGACAGTTCAGGTGAGTGGGAGAGTGCTTCAGCCTGAAGTTGACAGAGGCCACCCGGAACCCAAATGTTGGTGAGAAGTGCTTTGGTTCCCCATTTCAAAGCTGCCTTTGTACTTTGGGTATATGATGTCGGTAGGAGAAGGTGTCACTTTGGGGTCACTGAGCTGAGTCAGGCCTGGCACTGATGAGGATATCTGGAGTTGATCATACAAGAGAGATAGTGTGCCCCTGTGTACCTGCTGTGATTTGGGATTTTATGTTTATTTTCCCTTGTGAAGCTTCCTCAAGTCTTTCTAATATACTTATTTTTTTTAAACGTACTATATATGTCAGGTGTCTCATATAAAGTGAATCATTTCTAAATAACTAATTCACCTAAGATTTCCTTTTCTGTGATTTTCATTCAGTTTATTTTCCAGGCATCCACAGGAACAATCACCTTAGTTTAGCATGCACATCTTTTACTTAGGGCTTACTATGTGCCAGGACATTGCTAAGTGTTTTGTAAATGCTTTGCTGCATAATACTCAAGACATCCTTCTGAGGTGTTATTATCAGCATTTCACAGAAAAAGGAATGGAGAGAATGGTAAGAAACTTCCAGAATTAGGACTTGAGCCAAAGCCTATACTCTAATCCACCATGCTCTGCTCGCATCAATGCAATGTAGAAGTGGGATCCTTGATGAAATTTTCAGCAGGCGTGTGACTTCTCTTCCAAGGCAGTCTCAGTACTGGTATACTGTATTTCAGCTTCCTGAATTTGCAGTAGACATGCTACTAAATGTCTTTCTCAGACCCATTTTTTTATATTTCTATAGACAACATCTCCCTAAAGACACATGCTTCTTAATAATTTTCATCCAGCCCCCAAATTTCTCTCTGTTTTTACTGAACTAAAAGCCTTTGCAATTAAACCCAGTGGTTTTAAAATTGACATTTAGCTTAAGTGATTTATCACCAAAGCCAATACGTTGTGGAAAGCATACAATTTAATTTGAATGAGCAGTTGTCCCTTTCTAGATTCACCCAAAGTATATATGGAAGTATCTCGTTATGATCTGGTTCATATTTGACTGAGATCTAAAAACATGTCACAGACATAAGATTTATGTAAGGAGTGTGACTCAGCTCCTTTGTGGGAGATCTTTTTCTTTCTGATTGCGTTTGTGATCCTCACAGGTACATGAGTCTTATTGGAGCTTGGCAGCGGAATATATTCTAATTATAATCAGGAAGTACAGACTTACAGAGCAGCTTCTTTTTATCAGCCAGTGGAAGGGACACCAAGATAAATAAGCTGCCCTTGGCCTTAAGAAGCCTCTCTTGTGTTGTTGTATGATAGTTATGGCCATGAGATGAAGCTATATTTATAAAATAAGCAACAAACATTCCTTGGAAAAGACTACAGCAGGCAATTAGAAAATGGCATCTAAATAGATTTTAGGTGCTCTTGAATGTATCAACAGCTCTTGATATGAATGGATAATTAGGTGAATTATTTTATTAACCCTCTTTCACTTTTTGCCTTGGCTCACAGGAAGCCCAGAGCCAAAGCTGTTGTATAGACTTAATAACCCTCTAGGCCACTATGTTATGCATAGATTGTTACATGCTTATCATCCCCCAGGGTTGTTGTTAATCAGTTTTTTTTTAGGACCTGGTTTTGCAATTAATAAATTTCCCTTTTATTGTATTAAATATAATTTGTGGGGCACCTTGGATCTTTTGTGGAATAAAGCAATGTAAGTATTTAATTTTTTCAGAGGGTCATTGAAAAAGTGACTTCTTAGTTTTTATTTGTATAGCATTGATATTAAGGGCTAGATAATAGTAGGCTCAATTAAGACTTTTTGATTGTAAGTAATAGAATGCAAGCTCACAAGGCTTATGCAAAAAGAGGAAGTGATTGGCTCATGTAACTGAAAGTTTGTAGCTTCTTACTTTAGGAACAGTTGGATCCAGGTGCTTATCTGATTTCTTCATGAAATTCTGTCCTCATCTCTTGGCTTGCCTTGCTGTAGGCTGGCATTATCCTCAGGCTCAAGGCACCTCCAAGTTTGTCTCATCTTTATTTCTCACAGTCTCATGGAACCAGAGTGCCTTTTCTTGTGTCATTCCAGTCAAAATCCTGGGATTCGTTTTCATTGAACCCTCTTGGATCATGTGCTATTTCTGGACCAGTTACTGTGACTGAGGATATGAAATGTCCCAGTCAACTAAGTCTGACTGAGATACCTGCTGCTGGAACCTGACTGGGGCAACTCTCCCCAAAGCACATGAACTCACAGGACAGAAACAATGTTTCTGAGAAATGTGGTACTGACATAGAAGGGAGAATGGATGCTAAGGATGAAAACAGTAGCTTTCCATTCCATCAGATTTATGGGTCTAATTAAATGAATCATGGCATGACTGAATGGGAAGTAAGAGATGATGTCAGAACCCAAAGGAATCTCAGAACAGAGAGGTGATGGGAAAGTGTTCTTTGCAAGGGGCAGGGCATGACTATGAGGGAACCATCATATGATCTTGGTTTCAGGCCTGTGGATTTCTTCTTATTTATGAAGCTGCTGTTAAGTAGCCCCCAAGAGTGACTACACTTTTCTTAGCTATAAAAAAGATGAGTAAAGAAAACATAAATGGAAAGACATTCTGTGTTTATGAATTGGAAGACTTAATATTGTTATGATGTCAAGTACTACCAAGAATGATTGATAGACTTAATGCAATCCCTATCAAAATTCCAGTGATGTCTTTTGCAGAAATAGAAAAATCTACCCTACAATTCACATGAAATCTCAAGGGATCCCAAATTGCCAAAACAATCCTAAAGAGGAAAACAGAGTTGGATATCTCACACTTTCTTATTTCACAACTTAGTGCAGAACTATGGTATTCAAAACAGGATGGAACTGGCATAAAGACAGAAATATGGACCAACGGAACCAAACAGAAAGCCCAGAAATAAATACATACATGGTCAAATGATTTCTGACAGGACCATTAGGTGGGGGGAGCCACAGTCATTTCAGCCAAACAGTTCAGTTCAGTCGCTCAGTTGTGTCCAACTCTTTGCAACTCCATGGACTGCAGCATGCCAGGCCTCCCTGTCCATCACCAGTTCCCAGAACTTGCTCAAACTCATGTCCATCAAGTTGGTGATCCCATCCAATCATCCTCTGTCATCCCCTTCTCCTCCTGCTTCAATCTTTCCCAGGGTCTTTTCAAATGAGTCAGTTCTTCACATCAGGTGGCCAAAGTATTGGAGTNTCCACTCAGTCAAAGGCTTTGGCATAGTCAATAAAGCAGAAGTAGAAGTTTTTCTGGAATTCTCTTGCTATTTTGATGATCCAGAGGATGTTGGCAATTTGATCTCTGATTCCTCAGCTTTTTCCAAATCCTGCTTGAACATCTGGAAGTTCTCGGTTCACATACTGTTGAAGCCTGGCTTGGAGAATTTTGAGCATTACTTTACTGGTGTATGAAATGAGTGCAATTGTGCAGTAGTTTGAGCATTCTTTGGCTTGCCTTTCTTTAGGATTGGAATGAAAACTGACCTTTTCCAGTCCTGCGGCCACTGCCGAGTTTTCCAAATTTGCTGGCATATTGAGTGCAGCACTTTCACAGCATCATCTTTTAGAACTTGAAATAGCTCATCTGGAATTCCATCACCTCCGCTAGCTTTGTTCGGAGCAATGCTTCCTAAGGTCCACTTGACTTCACATTCCATGGTGTCTGCTCTAGATCAGTGATCACACCAACATGATTATCTGGGTCGTGAAGATCTTTTTTGTATAGTTCTTCTATGTATTCTTGCCACCTCTTTTTAATATCTTCTGCTTCCGTTAGCTCCATACCATTTCTGTCCTTTATTGTGCCCATCTTTGCATGAAATATTTCCTTGGTATCTTTAATTTTCTTGAAGAGATCTGTACTCTTTCCCATTCTATTGTTTTCCTCTATTTCTTTGCATTGATCACTGAGGAAGGCTTTCTTATCTCTCCTCGAGATTCTTTGAAACTCTGCATTCAAATGGGTATCTTTCCTTTTCTCCTTTGCCTTTAGCTTTCAGCCAGTAGCACTAGGAAAACTGATATCCACAAGCAGCAGAATGAAATTGTATCCTCACCTAACACCATATACAAAAGTTAACTCAAAATGGATCAAAGACCTGAGTGTAGGAACTAATAAAACTGTAGGACTCTTAGAAGAAAATCTGGGAGAAAAGCTTTATGACATTGAATTTGGCAGTGATTTGTTGATATGACACCAAAAAGCACAGATAACAAAAGAAAAAATAAGTATGTTAGATGTCATCAAAATTAAAAACTTTTGTGGCTCAAAAGACATCATCAAAACTCAGCCCACATAATGGAAGAAAATATTTGCAAATAATATATCTATAATGGGTTAATATCTAGAGTACATAAAGAACTCCTACATGTCAACAGCAAAAAAACAAACAATGCAAGCAACCCAAGTAAGAAATGGGCAAAAGACTTGACATTTCTTCAAAGATGATATACAGGTAACCAATAAGCACATGAAATGCAAAAAATCCCACAAAATACCACTTCACACCTATGAGGATAACTGTTATTTTTAAAAAATTGAGAATAGCAAGTGTTGGTAAGGAGAAATTAGAACTCTTGTGCACTGCTGGTGGGCATGTCAAATGGTGCAGCTGCTGTGTAAAAGAACATTGTTGTTGTTAGCATTCCATCAAAAAAGCATAGAGTTACCATATGATCCAGCAATTCTGGTGTATGCTCCATAGAATGTAAATCAGGGACCTGAACAGATGTTTGAACACCAGTGTTCATAGCATTATTCACAATACCTAAAAGGTGGAAGCAACGTTAAGTGTCCATCTGCAGGTGAATGAATAAATAAATGTGGTATATCTATGCCAGGGAATATTATTCATTTTTAAAACAAAGGGAAATTCTGACACATGCTACAACATGGGTGTACCTTGGGGACATCATTCTAAGTTAAAGAAACCAATCACAGAAGGACAAATACTGTATGATTCCACTTATGAAAAGTGTTCAGTTTTGTCAAATTAATAGAGACAGAAAAATTGAATGGTGGTTCCCAGGGACTAGGAAGAGGAAGAAATGGGGAGTTATTTAGTAGGCATAGAGTTTCAGTTTGGGATGAAGGAAAAGTTTTGGAAATGGATGGTGGTGATGATTGCCCAAAAATGTGAATGTACTTAATGCCACTGTACACTTTAAATGGTTAAAATGGTAAAACATAATGTGTATTTTACCACAGAAAGTATGGTAATATAATATAATATATATATAATATAATGTAATATAATATAATATATAATATAATATAACTAACTAATATAGTGTTGTATGTTAGTGAAGTCTCCTTAATAAAAAAGTTCTCAATTAAAAGAAGTATAACTTACTTTGTCTAGTGTAGTATGTACTAAGATACCATACTGCAAGCTCTTTGGGATCCAGTGAGATTTAGTTTTGTTGAAATAGACGCTGTGTCAGAGAACTTAAAAGGAACTTCCTCTTATGGGAAAAACTTCCAAACAGCTTGAAGCAGCTTACTTTTGACAGTCTTCTTCAAAGTAAGTTTTAAAAGTAATGTTGCAGAGATATTTGTGTCTGAGCACACAGAGGATTTAGACAGACTGGCTATCAGTTCCTGGCAAAAAGAGAGGACATATTCAAATGAAGGAAATTTGAGGAAAGTCCAATGAAAAGGACTTTGCAGAAGTGTGCCCAGGCTCTAGGGTGACCACGGGGATGGTGCAGCTTTCAAGGCTGTGACACTGGGGCTGATGAGGTGAGGGGAGGGAGCAGTTGTGGGAAACTTGGGCCAGAAATGCCCAACAAGAGCTTTGACCCCCCGGGAGGGAGCCCCCAACACCGGCTCTCTGACCTCACTCTCCTCCTTCTCGCCCCCATCCTCCTGAGCTCTCTGTAGCTAATACCAGGGCGCCAGTAGCCCAGTGGTGTGGTCCACAGAGTTCTGCCTCTGGGGGCTCTGAGAAGGATGAGGGTGGGGTGGCAAATGGATCTGGTGGGGGAAGGGGCAGACACTCAGCACAGAAGCCCACAAAAGCTGTCTCACCAGGCAGAATGCCTTCCTACTGCATCTGTTTTTCACGTTTCATCTGTGGGGTGTTTGTATGTATATACACTGACCCATGAAAGTCTCATTTCTTCATAACTAAAAACCTGACTTAAAGATTCAAGAAGAAAACTACACCATCTCATAGTAATATTAACATATGCTATATTGAATTGATAGACCACAATGAAATGGAATCACTTTCTAAAGAAGCTGTTTTCTATTTCTGCATTCTCATTGTCATCAGTTTTCATCATGCTGTCCATTACTAGGTTGGTGACCAGTGGTGGGCATTCTCTGTCCTTTCAACTTTAAAATTTCCAGAAAGTTTGAATCAGGCTTTCTCTGTCTGAGCAGTTGAACCCTCCTTAAATTTACCATTCCTTTGCTCTATAGTGTATCTTCAGAACCATAAAAATAGCCTGTGACCATTTAGCCCCTGAAAAAGATACACACACCAGTGGTGAAAACCTGAAGTCAGGCTGCCCAGGTTTGAATCCTGGCTCCATCACTTGTTCGTTGGCAAGTCCCTTGATCGTTCTGGGCCTCAGTTCCCTCCCCTGTCAAAGGATATACCTCCATGACAGGAGACACCTCCTAGGGTTGTGGTGAGGATTAAATGAGATCATGTGCCCTTGGAACGATGCCTGGTACGAGATGCCTGGCGTGTTGTGAGCCATCCATGAGTGACAACTGTTGTTATTCTTATCTCTTCCTTGCTGTCTTCCCACCTCCCTTTCATTCCTGACCTCTCCTTAAACTTCTCCTCCCACAGCCTCCATGAAACAGACCCTCATCTTATTTGGCATGTCTCCCTCCCCTTTCCTCCTGTGTCCATTCAGATGGTGAGCACGTCCAACGCCTCCCAGACAGTCACCTTGGTGTACGTGGTGGCCAACCGAAGCTCCTTCCTCAACGGCACCGTGGCCAGCAGCCTCCTCCGCCAGCTCTCCGCTGAACTGGTGGGGTTCTACCTCACCTACCCACCGCTCACCATCGCCGAACGTGAGTATGTTCGAGTTATGTCTGAATCCCTGTAGGACTCTACCATCTTCTCCAGGAATGTGTCTGTTTAGCAAGCTTCCGTGGTGCCACATGCTAACTCTTTTGTCATAAAATCACAACTGTAATGTGTGTGTGATGGGGGTTGAATTGATGAAAACTTCACTGCACGTTGTAAAAAGCACTGGCTAGGTGCTTTTACCCTTCACTTGTCTTGTATCTCATTTAACCCTCACAACTTCCCTCTATGGTAGGTGCAAAATTAGCCTCATTTTGCAGATGGGAAAATTGAAACTTTAAGAGGTTTAACTCCAAGATGCCTCCTCTGACATAGCTGGTGAGACATGGAACCTGGGGCTTGAACCAAGCAGTCTGTCTTCTTAGCTTATAACACTGCCTGGTAGAGCATCTGTCCTCATGGCAATCTTGGTTGCTAGGGTTTCCCCCACTTCTGCCATCAACAAAAATTCCCAGGCCTTCAGCCCTTGCCTGGGCTATAGATATTATAATGCAGCTCAGCATCCTGACTTCACTTGATGAAGTCCCCATAGGCTTGTGGCCTCCTCTTTCTCAAATGCTTCAGTTGCATAATCCTCATTACCATGTAGCAGGCATAGACTTCCAAGATGCAGCCTACGTTTTGTACCCAAACACTTACTCAGTAGCCAAAGGAAGTAAAGATCTGTGCTCCTAAATTTAATTGTTGATACATACTCAAGGTCACTGGGTAAGTGTTTTTTTTTAAACGTGTATTAGCAAAGTTGTTTTCATTTCCCTCTATGGTTCCTTTTTATATTGTAAATAAGTGAGATAATGTGTGTGAATGTACTTATTAGCACAAAGTAGCTACTCAGACTTTATAAAAAAATGTTTGTTTAGTGGCAAACTTTTGTGAGTTTCCATGTACTCAGAAAAGATGACTCTGGATTTTATGGAAAAGATAATATCATAAAAGATGGCATTATGTCACCTGGCAGCATGTGAAGGATTTCTTTTCTTTTATCATCTTGATATTCTAAGAATAATAATAATACTGCTATAATTTACTGAGCACTTATTATGTGCCAAATAATGTGCTAAACCCTTAACATATATCAACTCTGATGGTCACCACACTATAAAGAAATGGGGCCATTGCTTGCAAGCATTTAGCTACTAAACTTAGTCTTTGACTTTGGAAAGATCCATTCAAGAAATAGTTATTCCTAAAAATATGATAGATAATTTTTTTTAAAAGGCTGTAGTTGACAGGTTCTCATTGTAGGTCTTGACAATGAAATTGTTTTGCTTAAGAAGGTTTTGATGGAAAAGCTGAAAGCAGACACCCAAAAGCCTTAGGAAAACTCTTCTTCTGAAAGTTAGCCCTTTACTGAGTATTTTAGTTTTCTGAAAAGCAAGTTTCAGGCTATATGTCCTAGAGTTCCCAAGAATGATAGAGTAGGATTTAGCTGCTTGGTATTTTGTCAGCTATGTCTATTTCCCTGAACAATATCTATATATAAAACCTGTGAAAGTAATTTGGTGTGTTTCTTGTTTGTTTTAGCGCTGGAATACCCCAACCTCGATATATCAGAAACAACGAGAGACTATTGGGTAATTACAGGTAATCTCCTCTTTCATTGCTCATTTCACCCTATCAGGTTGGTTTATTTTTAAAAGCTTGCCTGCCTTTCAGTGATGAAATTGGCATCTTTTCTTGGATTCTGCCTTATAAGCCAAGGAGTTCCTTCCATAGGACCAGAAGTGGAGTAAACTGAGATAAGAACCTGGGCTCTGTGACAACCTAGAGGGGTAAGATGGGGTGGGAAGTGGGAGGGAAGCTGAAGAAGGAGGGGACATGTGTATACCTATGGCTGATCCATGTTGAGGTGTGGCAGAAACCAACACAATGTTGTAATTGTCCTTCAATTAAAAATAAATAAATTTTTAAAAAAAGACAACACACTCAAGATGGGTGTTAAATAATCAGTTCAAAACAGCTAACTTGAAAGTCCCAGTCTGGAACCTTCTTGCAAAACATGCATCCATCAGAAGGAATAGCATTAAGCTGTGGAGGGCTGGGGCATGTCCATGCGAATGGTTGTCTATTCGTTTAAAGATCGTAGGCCTTTCTGCACTGCCCTACAAAAGCCAGTGGAAGTCAGAGGAATGCCAGGCATGCACTTTTCTCTCTCCCTGGGCACACCCACGCTGATCCTGGTGAAGCCCAGCGTGTCCTGACAGTGAAGGCGGACGGAAGTAGAAGGGTGTTTGGGTGGCATTTTCCTTGACATTTTCCAGCTGAGATTTATGAAACAGCAAAAAAAAAGTTCTTGTTTGTGTTTTTCTAAAGCCAGACAGTAAGTAGCTCTGAAAATTAGAGAAGCAAGGATTAGTTAGAAGCAGAGAGAGAGAGGACAGAGGCTTGTAGGAGGCAGAGTGACTAGCTGGGTCATTAAGGGTGGTGCTGAAAGCTTAGCTTCTCTGTTCACTGGTGCCAAATTGAATCTCAGAGGCAGTTTGGGGTGAAGTAGAAATGGATTGCTTCATTGCTTTGCTAGATAACGGGGGATACCGCAAGCTCCTGCCTCAAAAAACTACATGTCCCAACCTGGGAGCATTTGATCAGGAGTTTTATAGCAATAGTTCAAGGTAGGGTTGTGAAAAAGATTAAAGTGTGTGAAGGGTCTCCAGGTGGTGCTGTTGGTAAAGAACCTGCAGGCCAATGCAGGTAGATGTAAGAGACGTGGGTTTGATCCCTGGGTTGGGGAGATGCCCTGGAGGAGGGCATGGCAACCCACTCCACTATTCTTGCCTGGAGAATCCCATGGACAGAGGAACCTGGTGGGCTGCCGTCCATAGGGTTGCAAGGAGTTGGACGTGACTGAAGCAACTTAACACGCACGGGGTCTCAGGTGGTCGGTCTCCTAACCTTGACGCACTTCTCCGGTCCCTGTAATCTTGCCTCAGGTGGTTTCGTGGCAGCTCCTTCCTTCTTTAGGCAACTGTTCTGAATCTGCCCTTTGGAACTTGGGGAAGGTTGCAGCGGCTGGAGTCTTGCCTACAAGAGAAGGGGACAGAAAGGCTTCCATGCCCAGGAGCCCCAAAGGGTCCTCCTCGGTTTCAAGGGGAGGGACAGGAAGGTGTTGGTCTGCTAGAGCTGCTACCCTAGGCTGGGGGGTGAGGGTGGAGGCTTCAAACACAGGAATTTATTTCCTCATAACTCAGGAGGCTGGAGGTCTCCTTTCAAGGTTGTCAGCAGGGTTGTTTCCTTCTGAGGTTCTCTCCCTGGCTTGTAAAACAACCACCTTCCCACTGTGCAGGTCTCTGTCTTAATTTCCCCTTCTTACTAGGACACCAGTCATTTAGGACTAGGCCCACCCTAATGACCTCCTTGTATCTTAATTGCCTCTTTAAAGGCCCTATCTCCAAACAGTCACATTCTGAGGTCCTGGGGGATAAAACATCAATAGGTGAGGTGTGGGGGAAACAGTTCAGCCCATAACAAAGAGGGAGCAAGATTTTGCTAGTCCTGGAAGATGAGCCTGGATAAGCAGGCCCTCCCCAACTTCCCTCTTCCCTTGCCTGTCTCCTCCCTCCCTTGCTGTCCCAAATAAGCAGTAGGTGGGTGCAGCCTGGAATACTAACTAGCAGCTCAGTGAAGCCTGCTCAAGACCTCTCCTAAACTGCAGAAAACTGTGTTTCTTTCTGCCCTGCAAAGGCATGGATTTGCAGATTATTTTACCTGCGAAGAAAGCCAACGAAAGAAATGTGTTTACAAAGGAAAACAGCAGCGACCCTCCAGAGCTTATGCCCAAGAGAGACAGTGCTAACCCAGCAACACATTTTTGAAGCCAGCAGGTTATGTAACACTTATAAAATCATGTTTCCTACCCAGGGAATGCTTTAAAAAAAAAAAAAAAAAACTTAGAGATATATTTCCCCCTTCTCTAACTTTAATATTGACATTCGATGGTAAGACACCCTGTCCTTGTCAACCTCTTGTTTTGTCCTTTCCTCATGTACCTCTGTCTTGCCCTGCCTCTGTTTGAGTGGCACGTGCTTAATAAAAGGCTCCATACATGGTCTTGTTTTCAGGATTCTCTTTTGGCTTGACCCCCTGTCCACTCACCTGCGCATCCCTCACTTGTTATCACTGGTGCTGCCGTTGTAATCAGCATACACAGTGACCCCCCCCTGCCCTGCCCATCCCAACTCTGTGTTCGGGGCTGACTGGATCAGTTGATTTCTGCTTGAGGGGCAGTGAGAGGGGGGAAACATTTTCACGTTTCAGGAGGACACTTCTGCCTTCCCTTTGGCCCATGACCACTTTCTAGACCAGTGGGCGGTCACCACCAACTTTAACCATCATTTCCAGAAGGGGTAGGAGATTGGGAACGGAGAGATGAAGATAGCTTTGTTCAACCCATTCCCCAGGCCAGGAGCCTGAGGCCACTGGACTCCTCAGGAGCAAGGAGAGGAGCTGAAGTCTTGGAACACAGTTCTGTGTTTTCCAGGCGATTCCTTCCTCTGCTGAGGAAGACACTTCCTCTGCTGTGTCTAGCAAAGCAAGAGGTAGGTGCATTTGGATAACAACAGCTACTGCTTGTGGGCATCCTCTCAAGGGCTTTATGGCACTATGCTAGAAGCAGTTTTCTTTTATAAAGTATTCTGTTCTTCGTGATACAGTCAGGAGTAGCTTATAATAACTGTGTTTTCAGATGAGGAACTGGAGCCCAGGGGAACCTGCCCAAGAACACTCAGTAAGGGGGCATCAGGATTCAAACCCAGGCCCCCCGGCTCACACCCCAGCTCTCGTTCAGCTCCTCCTGGGAAGGACACATCCTCTTTGCAGACAGAGCCATGAGGCACGTGGGAGCTGCCCAGCTATTGATTCCATGGTACTCTGTGGCAGGTTCCCATAACTTCCTGCACTTCCCTGGAGGCATTTTTTTTCCTCTCAGTTTTTAAAATTGTGGTAAAATACACATAACATGTGATTTATCATTTAACCTTTTAAAAAATTGTTATTATTTTCTATTGGAGTATAATTGCTTTACGATGTTGTGTTAGTTTCTGTTATACAGCAAAGTGGATCGTTTATATGTATACATATACCCGCTCCTTCTTGGACCTCTCTCCCACCGCCACCCCCGATCCCTCCGCTTCAGGTCAGGACAGAGCACGGCGCTGAGCTCCCTGGGTTATACGGCAGCTTCCACTAGCTAGCTATTTTATACGTGGCAGTGTATACACGGGAGAAGGCGATGGCACCCCACCCCAGTACTCCTGCCTGGAAAATCCCATGGACGGAGGAGCCTGGTGGGCTGCAGTCCATGGGGTCGCTAAGAGTCGGACACGACTGAGCGACTTCACTTTCCCTTTTCACTTTCATGCATTGGAACCCACTCCGGAGAGGGTTCTTGCCTGGAGGATCCCAGGGATGGGGGAGCCTGGTGGGCTGCCGTCTATAGGGTCTCACAGAGTCGGACACGACTCAAGTGACTTAGCAGCAGCAGCAGTAGTGTATATATATCAATGCTACTCTTTCCATTTGTCCCACCCTCTTCTTCCCCACAAGTGTCTACGAGTCTGTTCTCTACATCTGTGTCTCTATTCCTGCCCTGGGACTAGGTTCATTGGTACCATTTTTCTAAGTGTACAACACAGCAGAATTAAGAATGTTCACAGAGTTGTGCAGCCATCACCACTATTTCTGAAACGGTTCATCACCTGGAGGCTTGACTCTTCTCTTCTTTGATGTCTGCCCTTTTTGCATCTTCACTAGGGTTTCTCTAAAGTAACTCATGATGACACCCCTCAACAGTCCTGCATTCCCTCTCTCACCCTTGCCCACTGGTCAGGAGAGGCCAGCATAGAAGTAATCCCGCAGTTGGCGCTGTCATTTTATGGGAGGGGTATCTTTGAACTTGAAGGAACACGGGCTCTCCTCCTGGGGTCAGGAGGTGGGTCAGCCCTTCCTCAGCCTGAGAGCTGTGCGAGGAGGGCTTGGAGGGTCCTCTCTGGGACCCACCACCATGGGAGGCACAGGAATGTTTGCAGGAGTTTGTTTGCAGGAATTCTGCTGAGCTGGGAGTCCCTCACGAGGGCCCTGGAAGGAAAGCTGCTTTATGCCCTCCATGGGGATTTTTTTTAGGATTTGTGGTTTCAAAGAAATAACTTCTGAAACTCAGCTGTGAGTTTCACTCTTCTCATGATGAGTTTCAACATCGCTGTCTGTATCTCACTGTCATCCGTGCCTTGTTCTGGCCCGGTTAGGATGCCATCATAGTAACAATACGGTCTTTATATCCAGGCTCTTTTCAGATCCCAGTAGACGGGGTAGTATTAATGGTCCTTGGCTGGACTGTAGTAGAACAAGCTCTGCTAAATGAAAAATCTTGTATTACATCCCCAGCCCGTGTAAGTTTTGGTCTAAGAAGAGAATTGCTTTTAGCATTTTTGTTTTCAGGGATGACTGTGTTTGGAGGGAGTGTTTTAGGTGTTTGGGGAGAAGTGTGCTTCTTCCCAAGGGACTTGGAAGAAGGGCTGGCTTGGGGAATAGACAGCATAAAGGCAGTTGCCCCCGTAGTAAGTGACTGCAGCAATTCTAATGGTCCTGGTGTTCATTAAAATCCTCCTCCAGGCACTAGCCATAGCCTGGAATTCTGTATCAGTGCTTTACTTATTGATTACAGATACTCTGGGTGTGGATAAAGTCCAGAAGTGGAGAAAGGGTAGAAAGAGAGGGTTTCATTTACCTTCCACACAGGAGGCTCTGTGCTACACTGCTATATACATCTCATCTCAACCTTAAAGCCCACTAGAAATATATTTGCTGTGATGTAGCCTTTCTTATTCCATTTTACAGAGAAGGACTTGGACTCTGAGAGGGCCAGTGTTTTGCCCAAAGTCCCCTAGCTGGCAAGTGCCAGCGCTGAGAGAGCTCATTCTTTCTATCACACTATCCTGCTCTCAAGGATGGAGCTTAGATTCTTCAGCAAAGCTGTTGGAAAGAAAAGTAGAATCAGGGTAGCGCTGAGCCAGGAACCACCAAGAAATCCAATCAGCTGTTCCTGCAGCAATGCTGTGTTCCCATACAGACTCTGACTGAACATACTGTCTTCAATGAGGTTGGGACCTAGTACAACAGGTTTAGGTCGTTAAACCTGTCCCAGCTTGTGAAGGACAGGGCTTCAGGGGTTCGGGCTTGAGCCCCGGCTTTGCTTATGACTAGCTGTGTGAACTTAGACAAGTCACGTAACCTCTTCAGCATCTCGAACAGGTGGGTAGCGATTTCTAACCCCTGGGGCTGTCGAGAGGGAAGGACGGCCAGACCCCGTCATGGGGTCAGGCCCACGACCCTTACGGCTGGTGCAGGCCCGGCCCTGGTGGCTGTGGTTTCTGAGTCAGCAGAGAGCCTCTCCCCTGACAGCGGCTCTGTCTTCTGTGTCCGCAGTGCTGCAGGGCGTGGACAATTCCCTGGTGGGCCTGCACAACCAGAGCTTCGCCCGGGTCATGGAGCAGCGCCTGGCCCAGCTGTTCATGATGTCCCAGCAGCAAGGCCGGCGGTTTAAACGGGCCACCACTCTGGGAAGCTACACCGTGCAGGTGGGTGCGTGCAAAGCCGCGAGAGTCTATAAGAAAGGTGTGGAAACCTGCTTCCTGAGCTGGAGTAGATCGTGCTGCGTGCCGAGGTGTGTGCACACCACAAGCTGATGAGGCCGGTTAATCCACACTGCTCTTACTTTGGCGGGGTCGCTGGTCATTATCATCGACATCGTGAAGGAGGGTGAGAGCTGCTCTCCCTACTCTCACTCTGGATTGCAGGGGGAAGCAGGTCTCAGAAGACATGCTGCCCACACGTGCTTATTTATTCAACAAAACATTATTAGTAAGTGTCAACTCCCCCGCAACCTGCTCTGGAGGCTGGATGAGGTCCCAGCTTTCAGGCCTCTCAGCACCATGGCTGTGATCAGCAGAAACACTCGTCAGCCTCCCAAAAGTGGGTTCTGTCGGCCTTGTCGAGTCTGTTTCAACAAACAGAACCCTCTCCATTTATAAGGGACACTTGACCTCACTGGGATTTAGGGGAATACGCTATAGCAGACACTGCTGGGGCCCTGCCCACACTTGCTTACCATTTCTATGAAGGCTGATAGACTTCCAACATCATTTTATTCAAGGGCTGACTCTTGAGATGCCAGAACCCACTTTGCCCAGTCATGGCTGGCTGGAAGTACCTGGGAATTCACTGGCAGTGGGGGTATAAATACCACAGCTCTCTGGTTTCTTGGCTGGGAGAATTCTGAAAAGTGTGCTTTAGGATCATCAGCAGAGCTTTCTCACAGAATTAAGCTTTGGTTTTCCACCATGGTGACTTGCTTCCTACCTAATGCACCCCCCATCAGTTCTCTGCACCTCTCCAATAAATGACAAGCATTCAGCTCATCTCAGAGTCTATTTCAGAGGGAACCCAATAGAGATTCCATCTTGAGGGTAGAGGCTCTGAGCCTCTCTAGATTCTTTGTCCAGTTCAAGCAAGAGTGGGAATGTCTCTAGCATATTCTAACCAATTGACATATCTTGAGTATCACTACTTCTACCCAGTGAGAATCCATTTCTAACATTTGTTATGCTAATTAAAGCTCCGTGGAGCAAGGTATCAAGTTATAGAAGCACTTCTGGCAGTCGCCTCTAGAAAGTGGGCATCTTCTGTGGCATCTTGCCAACTGCCCCTGGGGTGTGAACTCCTGATTGGTGACTGACCACATCTAGGGTATAACATAACCCAAACACACATGCATGGTATCACACTAAGAGGAAGCTTTAAAGGAAATTATAGACATTCCCATAATCTGTCTGCAGATCATGTCCCCAGGCAATCTTGGAAGTACAAGCAACCCATCTTTTGGAACACAGTTTCCTACATCAGGCAACATCCCACCCCTTAGGGAGACTCCGGGTCCCCCGTTCACAGTTGGTGTATTTGGCCTCTTGTCCTATTGAAGTCGCTTCGGTTCTAAAAGCCTTTGTGGTCTGAGACAGCCTCGTAATGAGGTAAAGAGGTCATTAATTTCATGTGCCAGGTTTGTGATTCCCTTTCTGGGGGGTCCATGTGAGCCCTATAATTCACATTTCTCCAAGTAACAGAAAGGAAGTCACTGGGATTCAGACAGTTGAAATGGAGTTTGCCTCAACCGAAGCGGGAGAAAGAATCACCCTCCACTCCCGCTTATTTGTTAACCTAAGAAACGCAGCACATTCTAAGTGCCTAAAAGAGCTCAGCGAGGTGTTTTCTCCTCTTTTTTCCTGAGTACTCAGTGTGTGTGGCCCCTTTTGTTACCTGGAAAATCTGAGTGAAGTAACTAGGGATTTATTTCTGCAAATCTCCAATTTACCAAGGGCGTAGATCACCTTCCAACATCATCCTTGGAGGAATTTGCTAGGAAGAATTTGCTGTTAAATTGAAATTGAGCAAAGTTATTAGTTGCTTGAATGTTCATTCAACTCGTACCTGGTTATACTAATGCTCTCCCTACCTCCTCTCCCAGTGGGGACAGAAATAACACCCCCAATTTCCCAAATAAAATTCACTCTGTAGAGCTTACATCATCCTTCATGCAGAGAAGGCTTTCATCTGGGCTCAGATGATTTTTAAAGATGAGCCACCTTCATGAATATGGAAATTTAAATGTCTAGAATCTAAAGATATTTTTCTAGTGGATATATTTGAAAAAGTGAGTCCAAAGAAGATATACATAGGACGAGTAAGCATTTTTAATTGTGTAACTCTATTTGTCATCAAAGTAATGCAAGTTTTAACTACCACAAGATGCCATTTTCACCTCCTAAAAGTGAGTGAATTGGTACTATCCAGTGTTGATGAGGATGCAGTGTAATGGGCACCCTCAAACTCAGTAAATGGGAGAACACGTGAGTAATTTAGACAAGAACCTTTTAGATGGTCACAACCTTACCCCTAGAAATTCCTTTCAAGAAGATAAAGGTGAATGCAAAGATGAAGAGATGAGAGCACTGTTTCTCAGAGTGTCCAGAAAATGGTTTTATAAGGTGCCCATCTGACCAGGTCAGTTTGGGTAAGGCTGCATCCTCTAGAGCATTCTTGAAGATTCCAAAGGTATATTAGCATACAAAGACTCTGAAAAGACCTGCAAGTAATCTCCTTGCCTTTCTGCAATATACTGATTTCTAAATCTAAGTACCATTATAGTAACATCTACATTTCCCTGACATTTTATTATGAGCATTTGTAAACTCATAGAAAAGTTCCAAAAATTATGATGTAAACACATATATACTCAACATCTAGGTTCTACCATTAGCAGTGTATTATGTTACCATTTTATATTTGATAACATATATCATTTCCACACCATGGATCAGTTTGGACTGTTCAACCTCATATAAATGAAATCCTACCGTATATTCTCTTTTGTATAGTTTTTTGACTCTGGAGTGTTTTTGAGATTCATCCATGTTGTTCTTTTATTCAGTAGTTTATTCCTTTTTATTGCTGAGTAATATTCCCTTGTATGAAATATACTACAGGTTGTTTATCCATGCTTCTGTTGATGGACACCTGGGCTTTTCCCAGTTTTTAGCTACAATAAGCAAAGCTTCTATGAACCTTCTTCTGCAAATCTTTCTTTGGACATGTGCTTTCATTTGTCTTGGGTATGTAGGAGTGGTTCACAGGATTGGTGTATGCGAGAAACTGTGAGAAACTGCCAGACCTTTCCCCACAGTGTACTGTTTGATGCTCCCACCAACCGGATGTGGAGTTACCCCACCTCCTCATCAACACAGGGTTGTCAGCCCTTCTTATTTTAGTCATTCTTGTGGTTGATAGTGATGCCTTATGGGTTTTAGTTGAATTTCCTGATTGAGCATCTAAAAAAACATGTTTATTGGCTCCTCAGATATCTTTCTTTGTGAAATGTCTGGTAAGATTATTTTAAAAGCCATTTTTTATTGGATTGTAGTAATATTTATTTTTAATTGTTATTTATAGCATACATACTCAGGAGCATGAAAATATGCAGAGTTTAAAGAACACTAATAAAAAAAGAACCCACAACCCAAAGAGTAAGAACATTACTGTTACCTTACCCCAGAAGCTTTCTCTGTGTCTTTTCTGATTATATCTACTTGCTTCCTTTCTACCAGAGTTGAGTGTGCTTCTGGATTTTGTACTAAATCATGCCTGTGTTTTCTGTATAGATTTTACCATTCTCATGTGTATCCTTAACCAGTGCATCATTTGGTTTTGTTTGTTTTTGAACTTTATATTCTGTAATTTGTCTCTTTGGCTCCATATCAGGATTTTGTATTCACCCATATTGGATCAAAGAGCCATAGTTCTACTACTCTATAATATTTAATTGTGCAGCAGTACTATAATTCATTTCTCCATCCTACTGTTAGTGACTTCTGAATTTTTGTATTTTTTTTGGCTATTATGAACAATGCTGCTATAAACATTTTTGTTACATCTTTTGATATTCTGTGAAACTCATAATCTGTAAGATACACTTTGGGAAGTACTATATGATGCCATGTTTATCAATGGAGAATTATACTAGTGAAAACTTGATAACAACCTAAATGTCCACAAATGAAGGTTCAGTTACGTTTATGAGACATGCACACAGTAGAACATGATATAGATATTAAAATTTATGTTTTATGTGTGATTATCAATTGTTAGTTATGATACTAAAACATGAGTAACAATCTAGGTGTTTAACAATAAAGGATTGGGTAAGTAAGTTTATGAAGCATACCTTGGAATGCCATGTAGAAACTAACATTTATGCTTTTATTGTAATTAAGCCCCTATGGATGCAAGTAAAAATGACAATATATAATATTACATAGAAAATATGATAAATAATTTTGTAAAATGATAAATAAGAGACTTGTGTGGAAAAAACAGTAGCAAATACTCCAAAATGATGACAGCAATTAGCTTGTGGAGGAGGGGTTACAGATTGTTTTTATTTTATTTCATTTCTCGGTGCTTTTCTGTATTTTCAAATTCTCTGTAGTGCAGTGAGAAAAAACAACAAAGGTTATTTTATAAAAAGAAATTTGAGTCTCCAAACCTTGCTTTTATAAGAGACCTTTTGAATTGCAGACATAGAAGTTCATTTTTTTCCCCCTCTCTGGCAATTGCAGGAATTTGAAATTAGAAATCTTGTTTGAGCATAACCTAACATGCCCTGAATTCATGTGGAGGCCTATTTTCAAATGAGGCCAGAGTTCTCTGGAGGCTGGAAGACTTGACCATTTCAGCATTTCTTCTCCATCTCAAACTGTTCTTCCCAGATGTTTGTATTTTCAAGACTGTTTTCTCCTCCCTGCCTTCCTCTTCCAGCGATAGTAGGGTTTCTTGAGATATTGGTGTTAGGGAGGTACGTGAAGGTTGATGCCTAAAATATATGTTATGGGTCCACTTAGCTGCAGAAGGCGTCACAGTCGGGGGTGAGCCTGCTGATCATGTGAGTAATTGCAGAGTTGATGAACGATGCCCTGTAAACAAGGCCTATCTTTTTTTGAAAGATGGTAAAGATGCAGCGGGTGCCAGGACCCAAGGATCCCGCAGAGCTGACTTACTACACCCTGTACAACGGGAAACCTCTGCTGGGGACTGCAGCTGCCAAGATCCTGAGCACCATTGACTCCCAAAGGATGGCCTTGACTCTGCATCATGTTGTTCTTCTGCAAGCTGACCGTAAGGGGACAGTCTTTCTATTCAATATTTTTAACATCAGTAAATATTTCCTGTTCACCCAAGTGAGTCCCTAAACTCTTGTTAGTAGACCCAGAGCTAAAAATATTTCTATTCTAGAAGGTTCTCAAATCAACCAGCTGTTTCCTGTATTGTTTAAAGCAATAGGTTTTGGGTGAAAGTGAAAGTCGCTCAGTCGTGTCTGACTCTTTGTGACCCCATGGACTATACAGCCCACGGAATTCTCTAGGCCAGAATACTGGAGTGGGTAGCCTTTCCCTTCTCCAGGGGATCTTCCCAACCCAGGGATTGTACCCAGGTCTCCTGCATTGCAGGTGGATTCTTTACCAACTGAGCTATCAGGGAAGCCCTGATATCAGGTGGCTATCAGGTTTTGGGTAAGGGATGTGTTTTGGATACTGCTGCTGCTGCTGCTAAGTCACTTCAGTCATGTCTGACTCTGTGTGAATTTTATAAGAGACCTTTTGAATTGCAGACATAAAAGTTCATTTTTTTCCCCTTCTCTGGCAATTGCAGGAATTTGAAATTAGAAATCTTGTTTGAGCATAACCTAACATGCCCTGAATTCATGTGGAGGCCTATTTTCAAATGAGGCCAGAGTTCTCTGGAGGCTGGAAGACTTGACCATTTCAGCATTTCTTCTCCATCTCAAACTGTTCTTCCCAGATGTTTGTATTTTCAAGACTGTTTTCTCCTCCCTGCCTTCCTCTTCCAGCGATAGTAGGGTTTCTTGAGATATTGGTGTTAGGGAGGTACGTGAAGGTTGATGCCTAAAATATATGTTATGGGTCCACTTAGCTGCAGAAGGCGTCACAGTCGGGGGTGAGCCTGCTGATCATGTGAGTAATTGCAGAGTTGATGAACGATGCCCTGTAAACAAGGCCTATCTTTTTTTGAAAGATGGTAAAGATGCAGCGGGTGCCAGGACCCAAGGATCCTGCAGAGCTGACTTACTACACCCTGTACAACGGGAAACCTCTGCTGGGGACTGCAGCTGCCAAGATCCTGAGCACCATTGACTCCCAAAGGATGGCCTTGACTCTGCATCATGTTGTTCTTCTGCAAGCTGACCGTAAGGGGACAGTCTTTCTATTCAATATTTTTAACATCAGTAAATATTTCCTGTTCACCCAAGTGAGTCCCTAAACTCTTGTTAGTAGACCCAGAGCTAAAAATATTTCTATTCTAGAAGGTTCTCAAATCAACCAGCTGTTTCCTGTATTGTTTAAAGCAATAGGTTTTGGGTGAAAGTGAAAGTCGCTCAGTCGTGTCTGACTCTTTGTGACCCCATGGACTATACAGCCCACGGAATTCTCTAGGCCAGAATACTGGAGTGGGTAGCCTTTCCCTTCTCCAGGGGATCTTCCCAACCCAGGGATTGTACCCAGGTCTCCTGCATTGCAGGTGGATTCTTTACCAACTGAGCTATCAGGGAAGCCCTGATATCAGGTGGCTATCAGGTTTTGGGTAAGGGATGTGTTTTGGATACTGCTGCTGCTGCTGCTAAGTCACTTCAGTCATGTCTGACTCTGTGTGATCCCATAGACGTCAGCTCACCAGGCTCCCCCGTCTCTGGGATTCTCCAGGCAAGAACACTGGAGTGGGTTGCCATTTCCTTCTCCAATGAGTTAAAGTGAAAAGTGAAAGAAGTCGCTTAGTCATGTCCGACTCTTCGCGACCCCATGGACTGCAGCCTACCAGGCTCCTCCATCCACAGAATTTCCCAGGCAGAGTACTGGAGTGGGGTGCCATTGCCTTCTCCGGTTTTGGATACTAGGGTGATGGTAATACTGCTTTGCCCCAAGTCTACCCACTCTTTCTCCTCAGTCCAGCCTTTTGAACAGCTAGAAAAACCACCACAGCTGAGATTGTATTTGTCTGCTAGGGAATTAAAGGTAATTTGATTCAGTAAACTTTCCAGAGTCCTACATGAGCTGTGCTGGAGGACACAGAGAAGTGGGCAAGACTTGCTAAATCCCTGCCTTTAACAAGCAGAGAAGCTGTCGATGCAGATATAAAGGTGTAGAATGCAGAGTTGCTTCCAGGAGACAACGTGGTTGATACAGGGCTCAACAGAGGGACAGACTGCTCTCAAGGGGTATGTGGGAAGGATTACGAGAAAGGGTATGAAACATAATAACTTCCTCTTTGAGGGCCCTCCCCGTGGTAGCTACTATGCTTGTTGCTTTACAAAGATTTTTCTCTATTTCTCTGGAACTATATTCAGCTCTCAGTTACAGATGAGGAAACCTAGGCTCAGACAAGTTAACTAACTTGCTCCACATCGCAGAATTAGTACTTGATATGATATTAATTCCCAGACAGGAATCTGAATCTGAGTTCAAAAGTGTGTTCTTGACTGTATTGTACGCTGTGATTGCAGCTGAGGGTGGGGAAGAGGTTATAGTTCAGAAAGAGGAAGCAGCAGGAGCAATAGGAGGGAAGTGAAAAGTACCAGCAGTGCTTGAAAAAAGGGAGTCAGGTTTCCTGCAGCACAGAAGCAAGAGGGGGAGATGATGGGGGCAGAAATGAGCACTGCTTAGGAGACTCAGGCCTCCCATGGCAAGGGAAGGGATTGTACTGTGCTGAGATCGGTTCTGGGGAGTTACTGGAGATTTCTATGCGGGGGAATAGTATCATTGAAAGTACCCGTTATCTAGGGAGATTAATCTGTTGGCAGTGTTCCGGTTGAGAGAAGGCAGAACTAATGAGGCTTTCTGATGGCCCAGGCATTAGGGACCCAAAGAAGGGCTTCAAAGAAAGCCAGGGAATAGGTGAGGTAGGTGAGCAACTGTGTGGCAAAAATGTTAGATTCAGCATCACATGGAGCGTAGAGGGCCTGGAAGGCCCAGATTGATCTCCTAGTTGGTGTCCACGCTCCTTAGGAACCTGGCTCGTGGTTTCCCTCTCCTCATCGTCTGCCTGCATCCAGGGTGGCTGTGGCTTCCGTGGGGATGGTCCATCCCATGTGTTGTTATGGCCCTCACTTCTGCTCGGCCAGCACATCCTCAGAGACACACCTTTGCCCAGAAATGATGGTCACCCTCTACAGTCTTGTCTTTAAAGTGTTTTTAGCTCAGATTCTCTTCCTTTGCACCACTGTCCTTCCCTCCCTGTGGCCTCTGTCCCATCTCTGGACAGGTCAATGACCTCACCAGTTCTGCTGTATCCTCTCCATGTGTGTTCCCCAGGCTCCGTTCTCAGCTCTTTATCCACCTCTCCAAGTAGAGAATAAATTGTAGAGGACAGGGGTGAAAACCACTGCAGGTGTCCAGGTGAGAGGGAAAGTGTCAGAGGTGGAGACTCAGAGAAGATATTTTACATATTTTTGCAGACAGAGCCAATGGGACAAGATAATGGATTGTGGATGAGCAGGAGAAGATGACGGCCAAAGGACTCAAGGTTGACTCCGAGGTGTTTGCTTGAGCACTGACCGTGGTGTCACTTGTTGAGATGCAGAAAGTACAGAGAGGAAGTGGTTCAGTGGCGCAGCAGTGGGGATGGGGAGCTAGAATTGAGAGTTTGGTTTTGGACATGTTAGTTTATACATTCAAGTAGAGATACTAACTTGGGAGGAGTCATCAACACAGATAACATTTAGAGCTAAGGGAATTCGTGAGATTAACCAGACCCGGCACGATTTAGAACTAAAGAGAAGAGGGTGAAAATTAAGGCATGGGGAAGTTACATGAGGGAAGTACTGGAACCAGCAAAGGACCCTGAGGAGGAGCATCCAGGGAGATGGAGGAAACCCAGGAGGAGGTGGAGGACACCCAGGAGGAGGTGGGGTCCAGAAACAAGCATAGAAAGTGAATGTCTTGGAAGGGGGTGAGCTGTTGCATCAGCTTCTGTTCTTAAGAGGCAGAGGCTGGAAGGACGGAGATGAAGTGGCTTTGCTAAACTGGAGGTTGGTGGGAACCTTGGCAGGAGGAGTTCCCAGGAAGAGGTAGTGGAGACGGAGTGACTGGAGTGGGCCCAGGAGACAGTGGAGGTGGGGAACCAATGCCAGCAAAGGGAGAAGATTCATGAGGCAGTGGCTGGAGGGGCACCCGAGAGAGAGTGGGTACATCTGGGTATTAAGACTGTAATAGAGAGGGAGAAATTGACAACGCAGAAGCGAGACAAGCCCTGCAGGAAGGAAGTCCACACATGGACGAGGGGGCGGCACAAGTGGAGGGTCAGACTCAGCGAGGAGCAGGGATGGCCCATCCTTGGCAGCAGGAGGCCAAGCAGAGCAGGGGTGTGGGTGTCAGTCGCATGGTACATTTGATACTGCAAGCCTGAGGACATCTCCGTGGTTGTTTCTGCTCTCTTGGGTCATAATGACGTGAAGGAGGCAGCTGAGGATGAGATTGTGGGGCAGGGCACATTTGAGCCTGGGTTCTGTAGTACACAATAAGCAAACTGATTAGAGAAACACGTAAGAGAGAAAGGCTCCCTTCCTCCCAGGTCTTCATTGCTATGTTCAGACCGTTTCTTCTTTTCTTGCAAAATGCTAGATGCTTCAAAGTTGCCTCCTCCTTACTGCAGTCACCTCTAGACCCCAAGCTGACCCCCACTGTCCTTTGAAGGTTTTTTTTAACATTAATTTACTTATTTTTGGCTACCCTTGGTCTTTGTTGCTGTATACAGGCTACTCTCTAGTTGTGGTGCACGGGCTTCTCATTTCAGCGACTTTTCTTATTTCAGAGCACAGGCTCAGCAGTTAGCGTGCAAAGACTTAGTTGCCCTATGGCATGTGAAATCTTCCCGGACCAGGGATTGAACCTGTGTCCCCTGCATTGGGAGGCGGACTCCCAACCACTGGACAACCAGGGAAGTCCATCCTTTAGAGATTTTTACCTGGTTCATTGTCTCTTCCTCTTTACCACTTCTCCTGCCCTAACCCATCCTTTACTTTGAGATCAGTTCCTTGACCTCCTTACTTCTACTCTAGGCCTCATCGTACTTGGGAAGGGGCGGCAATGGGAGAGCTGGCCTTA